CAAATCGAGGCAATCGCGTGGAACTATTCGTCCGCCTCGATCAAGCCGCAGATACCAAAACATCCCAAAGTTCCTTTCCTTGCAGACTTGCATTACCCCTGTTCGGGGCTAGCCGTCGGTACTTCCTTTCCTACCCCCCTGCTCTCACATGCTATGGCGTCCCTACAACTCGAAACCAATGATTACCCAACACCACAATGAAACACACTCACCCACAATATAGTACACCCACTTTTCTTAAGCGAACGATAGATTAAGAAAGCGGCAGCTAACCCTAATCCCAACTCTCGGTTTCAAGTGATTCCCGCACCTGGTCGAGGCAATTATAGATCTCTTCGCCGAGCCCTTCTGGAAGAAAATCCAGTGCCGTGGCGGACGCTCGCAGGTACTTTCCAAATATCTGGTCAACAATGGTGATGTGTACAAGTAAGCACAGGCGGAAGCAAGTAATGGGGAAACCGCAAAGGTCAAGGTGCCCAATCTCAAGACAAGGTTCGCTTGGGAAAAAAACTAAATGTGATAAATCCTCAGACCTTTCAGTTGTGCATCTACTCGTTATGTGTGTCTCTGGCAGCAGCTCTGTTCACCCCTCATGAGTAATGAATTCGTTCTTAGTCCGTTTCTCAGATTTCATGTGCGCCAACCCGCACATGCGGTGACGGTACGAGTTTGTTGCTGGGGTCAAACGAGTAACGTTTTTCTTCAGTTATCGGCGCTTGCTTGTCGTTGATGTGATATTGTCACGCATTCGGAAAAGTGTTTCGCTACGGGCAAACGGAAGTGCCCCCCGGCGACGTGATGTTTTCTTCGCCGAACTGGGTAGACAGACAGTTGGGCAAATAGGTGTTTGGATGGAACATCGGATAGATACAGAGGCAGGATCATCGCGTGTGTATTGGCTGGAGGGGGCCCCGGGCGTGACGTTAGTGTCATCGGTGGCGGTAGAGACACGCCACCGTACGTGCAGACCCCGGCATCCTCACTAAAGGTTGGGATGGGGGGAAAGCGCCAAGCGTTTCGCTGAGAGAACAGATTGTGCGCTGCGAGGAGGTACAAGCGGGCTAGGTGACGTGCCTCGAACTTTACGGGTAAGAGTGTCTTTCTCGGTTGGATGCGTACGTTAGGAAATTTTCAGAAGAAACAGCCGTCCAAGCACAGAAAGAAGGGGCTCTAATCTGGGGGTCTTTTCGGAAGACCTTGCGGTGTAGCCTCACCGGCGTCGACCGGCACGGGAAAAACCCACTTCAAGGACGTGGGGAAAGCCTTAGAACCCGCCGTCTAGGGGGAAATTATTCATTGCTGAAGGGGGCGAAGATTTGGGGAGGCCTGTCCGCTTCTTCTGTAAGCCCTGGTATTGTGTACCCGATCGTTGTTCCTGTTCTTGTCACGCTAGTCGTCTACTCTACTCTAAAGACATGGGATCGACCGTTGCTGCTGTGGGCGTTGCTTGAGTTTCGCGTTGCGGGCTGGGCGAGTGCGATCGACGGCCGTTCCGAGAGCCACTTTTGCTACATCCGCGCGGTGTACAGCGTACGACGTCGCTGGGATCTCGAGTTTGTGCACTCCTTACATCCGTATGGAAATCACATGTATTTGTGCGGTGAGGAGGCACTGCGGCAGGGCCGCATGGACCTCGCAATGGACAACGGGAGGTGATTTCAGTCGATAATCCACACAACAAACATTCACTAACCAGGTTGCTGGAATGCAAGAAACTCTACAAGAGTGGTCCAGACGCATCTCGAAAGCAAGCGCCACCCGACGGGCGAGAGCGGGAACATCGGTGAAACATACATTCTGCTTGTGGCGGACAACCGCTGCTGTTTTTTCAAGGGTCCCGAGGGAAGGAAGAAGAAGCAAGATGCTGCAATCAATTGTCGCCACCTGCTTAGCCTTGGTGAAGCGGTAGTCCACCGTTGGGATCGCCCGGTACTCCTGGATGTCGCTCCACGCGAATAGCACGTGCTGCGTCCCGATCTCCATGGAGAACCTTCCCAGAAAGTTCTGGCCGACTGAAAGCCGTCGTCGTCGTCGTCATTCGTCGTCGAAAACGTTAGTTGATCGAATTTCCGCGAAAATTGCAGGTCGACGGTGAGAGGGCGGGGATGATAAAGGGTGTCAAGCCCGGAAACATAGCAGCGAAGCTAGGGTGAGTGCTGCCAATGGGACGTTCTTTCCAGTTCTACGAATCGCCGCACAGGAGAAAACAAAACGTAACACACCCTTGCATTTCACGGGCTTCACCGAAACGAATACGTTCTCGCCCCAGACAATAAATCGATGTTACAGCCGGTCCGTAGTTGTTTGTTCCACTGAGGGATCACGATGGTGCATGCTTGGGTTCGTTCGGTTCATGGGGGTGACATGATCGAGATTCGGGCTATGCCTAACCAGTGGTGAATTTGACAGTTTTTTTCGAGCTAGACCAGAGGACGTCGCTTGGGGTGGTGAAGTTCAGAGTATGCATCATCCCTTGTCACAGTAACAACGACAACGACAACCATGGCAACGACGACGAAAACAACAACAAAAACAACGACGACAACAACAACAACAACAACAACAGAACCACAGCAGCAGCAGCGATTCCGTTGTCCCCCCTCACCAGGGCTGTGCAGCATGGCCAGCAGCTCGACGTACTCGGTGATGTCCTCTCGGTCGTCCGGTAGGATAGGGCTCTTCGTGAAGTCGTCGTGATAGCCCTCCTTTCGCCACACGGTTGCGTGTTCCGTCGCTCGGCTCTCGGGGACTTCGCCGAGGGTACTGGGAAAAGGGGGGGGGGGGGGGTACACACACAACGTGCTATTTTAAAACCTCTTGATATAGGGGAGGCTCGTTTCTCATTTTGTCTATGGGGTACCGCCGGCCGATTATATAGGTTATTGTGTAGACGTTTTTACGGAGCACCTATTCTTACGGCCAAGTTCGTGGGTTTGAACTGTTTTAGGCTCAAGTTCTTAACTACCTGATTCTTAAGTGGTGGCGCTTTCTGTATATAGTGCAAAGCGCGAAACACGGACATTATGCATAATTTCTGAAAGTGTACCTAGAGAATTGAGTATACGTTTCTGGGTTAGGGATGTGGTTCCGAGATGTATGGACTCATGCATTTTCTAAGATTGGGGTATCACACATGCCAGAACCTATTCACTATCTTGGGTATGCCATATATGCACCAAGCTTTGCAACTTTGTCAATACCAAGCAATTTTCTTGGGCATGCATTTCTTGTTTCACAGAACATCATTTGGCGAAGCCCTTTGTGGACCGGGCTAGGGCGTTGAGCAGGGAAATATCCCGTCCTAGGCGTGTCGTTGGGGTTCGTCCCAATTTGGTGCAGACAGCTGTTCCTTCTCAATGTCGATGAGGTTCAGTCGTTCTTCCGCCTGCCTCCCTCGGTGCTTGGACCCGGGGGTTCTCGACAGGGAGCGCGGTGGAACTCCAATCTCTTCGCTGCCAACGCCTAGTGAGAGGGGTGGTCATCTCCTGCTTTGTATTGCTGGCGAGAGGGCAGTCCACCGAAAAACGTGGACTCACCACTGAATCCCCGGTGCATATTCCAACGACGCGGGGCAGGTCTGTTTTGCGGTATGTTTGGTTTAAGTTTCCATGCGTCTGTTGTGTCATTTGGCGAAACGAACGGCGTGAAGTGTCTCCGTCGGTGACTTTGCAGCGATATGAAGGTCTTCCAAGAACATCTTGTGACTAACAAGCACATCCCAGATCAATGTACCACATACTCGCCCCCGCTTTTGTCACCACCAAACCCGTGAGGTTCATTCCTCGCAACCTTGGAGGAGGGTAGCGTAGAGTGACACGGAGTAGCTCGTGGCGGACTACTGTAATACAAAGTAGGGGCAGACGTGTGGCAGAGCACGATATTTTTCTTTTAGAGGGTGACCACTGGGAAATCGCCTACGTATGGCCAAGGCGACTCAGGACTTGAGGTCGTGGTTGCTAAGGGGTGTTCGTGTGAGTGCGTATGTAGTCGGATCTGTAGACGAGATGACTGTTTCAGGTACACTGCACATAGGTATGCGTTGGGTAGTACGACCAGAGAATGATTGTGCGGAGCCCCCACGCCAGCTGCTGTCAGCTGGCGTGCGCGTGGCACTCCCTGCTCTTTCCCCCCAACCGGGTGTGAGAGATAACAAGCATCTAAACATCAAGCACTACAATCTCTACAAAGACAACAAGGGCATACCACTTAGGGTTGACGAATAAGGGGCACACGCTCGGCAACCGGCCTCAAGTAACCTTGGAGGTCTAACGCCAAATTGGCTCCAGAAAATTGTTTACTAACGAGCATCGGCCCAGCTCATGAGGGTGTGACACTGGCCCGGCCGTTGGTTGGGTAAATCGTATGGCTGTACCCTACACGAACGTCTCCAGAGAGAGGTTTCGACCTGTACCGAAGGAGAACGAACGAGAGAATAGCTTTGTGTCTGTTGGGCAATGCAATTGATCCACGGCCGCATACGGTTGGCTTCCAAGGTAAGCTGTGCAACGTGCTAGGCAGAAAATGTAAAATGCCGTGGATAACAGTCACCTCATCTCGTCTGACTACAGTATCGAGCGAGCAAAGACTAAGCCCGCACCGAACAATGCCGATAATGTTTCTCCTGTGGGCAAGCCTTATGGAAAAAATATTGAATTGGGCATGCGTTTCTGAAGGAGTCCGTCACGTGTTTGCCATGTCGTCTTTTCAATCTACCAACAAGTGGGAATTTTATCGAACGGAGTGTCATCCCATCATGATGTCATACCCTGGCATTGCGGTAAAGCGCACCGCCCTTGCGCACCGTGTCTGCCCGCCGACCGAGTGAAACCAGCTTCTAGCATAATTAGTAAAGCAGTGGCCAACCGAAGAGTACCTTCGGGGTCTACCACCTACCCCATGCTACCTTCTTTGCGAGCCCGGCTACGATATGCTATGTAAGCGCTACCCTTACAGACATGTGTCCGTCTGGTGCACTCATACGCAGCCATCAAGCGACAGCTTTAGTTGACTGTCAGATTGTCAAGACTACCACCGTCTTGAAAAGCGCTGGTTGCTTGTGGCACCCAAAGACATTCAAAACCAAGTGCGGCGTTTACGGTAATGTGCCTACCCTGTGGTAGAGACTCGGGAGGCACCACGCCCTAGCCTCCTCCTTACCTTGACTGGTGAACCCTGCTTGGCGCACCTCCCATCTCTCCCACTCCCCCTGCCGTGATACCAAGGGCGTAGCACCAGCTCGAACGCTAACCTTTCCTGCGACGTCTCCAACAAGAAAGCGCTTCCGTCGGGATGGAGGCAGCAGTTTTTCTCCCATATGCAGGGAGGAGAGAACCTTGGGAAGGGCTTGTTTGTGCTGCTGCTCCGGTTTCGATGCTGTAGCTTGACCACTCCCGGTTTCGATACCGCAGCGCTCCTCCAATTACACTTTCTACGTAGGCAGCTGTTCTCCTTCCGATACCAAGACAGCCCGTTCCTCGAATGCTGTTACTCTCGCCTTCTTCTAAGTCGTGTGTGTGGGCTCACGCCGTTGTGAGACTCTCTTTCTTTCTCCGGACGCCGTCGGCGAAGCACCCCAGCTACGGACCTCAAGCCGTTTGCTCCTTCCCTTGCTCGGGCTTCTCAGTTTCGAAGATACTCTCTCCAGTACACGAAAACGCCCTCCCGGGAGCCCTGCTATAGTTGATCCTTCCACGTGGTCGCCTATTTATGTTGGCACAACAAACGCCAAGCACAGCGTGGGCTGTTGCTCCACAGGTCAACAGGTCAATCAAGTCCTCTGCCACCCTCGCTCCACGTCAGTGCGTCACCGATGATATATACAGGAAGCAAGTGCTTTCTTTTGCCGGTATCACTGGGAGTATATCCGTGCTGGATCACTCACGGTGCTCACTGCGTCGCTCTCTTGTCCGCCCGTCTTGTCAAATGCCGGCCAGATCTCCGGTTGGTGCTCCTGTCCCCCATGCGCGCTGAACAGATCGTTGGTCGGTATGCGATGTTGAATCGCGTTATGTACGTACACAACGCAGCTTACACGGGAACATCAGCGTTCCTTTCTGAGGTGGACCATCACGGTCAGTTGGGTAACTGTCGCGCTATGGTATCCTTTGCCTTCTTTGGGTTACCAGGAGCCCTGTGGCGAAAGTCACGATGCGCGGATCGAACTTAGACTACTCATCAGCTGCTATTATTATTCCTTAGTCCTAAATGCAGGCTCCAAACTACAAACTACAAACTACAAACTTCACTCCACGATGGCGAACCGTCAGTAGTTCACCCGCATGTGACATGACATCAGGTTGGCAATCTCGCCGCGTGTTGGCGTGCACACGTACGTACGTTGTACACACCGTGAGCATTCCCAGTTCCCAATGAAAGATATGTGAGTCTCCCGGGTGTGCATGTGAATAATGGAGATCCATGTCGTATAGTGATTTGAAGTTTAAAGTCCTGTGATTTTCGTCCGCTTTCACGACGACCATCCGTCTCAGAACTGGGGCGGACGATGCGCTAGCAGTTGTCGCAATGGGAAAGCATATCCAACGAAAAAACCGGTGCCGTGAAGGAAGTTGCTATTGGTGAGAAATCCTACCGGTAACGCCACGCTCAGTCGTTGCGGCCGGCTGTGGTGCATAATATTGGCTTGCCAAGACGGGGGTGTTGAAAGCTCGTGCTCTCAGTTGTGCATTGCAGACTGAGCGTGTTGACACGCCCGCTCGTTCTACGAACAGTTCGGAGATGGGGGGGGGGGAATTGGCAGTTTCCTTGTTCCTCATGGCATGCGTCGTCCCACACGGTCGCAGGCGAACTGACCCCCTGCCATGTAAATCGGGACACCGCCGCCTGATTCGCGCGAGTGGTCTATAAAGCAAGCAGGGGAGAAGATAACGATTTCGGCCACTGTGCTGCATAACCATACCCCCGCCACCTTCCCCACGCCCGAGGTAGTTGTCCTCGGCCTCAAATCAAACGTACAGCAGAAAAACTGGGGGGTGCACATGTCGCGCATGCTTCTGGGACAAATCGCATCGCTGGGCAAGTACGATGGGTTGATTGATCTTGACAGCCTGGAGAGGGCCGAGCCGTACTTGTAGCTCGTGCGCTGTTGTGTGGTCGTAGCGACATCATATACCACACACTACTTTCACTCTGCTGTTACCGCCCGGAAACGGCCGACGACAAAGGAAGGGATAGACACTCCCAAAGCATTCTTACCGTTAGCTGCCACTATGCTATGCTGGGGTGGAGGTGGTGGTGGCGGTGGGAAAGGTACCATGACATATCGCCAACGCCCAATCAACGCACCTCGCTCAGTGGGAAGCCAAAAAAAAAAAAAACACGGTTATCAAGGGTGACAGCAGGAAGGGCTGTGTGCAATCATGTACACCCCCCCTCCCTCTTCCTTAAACAACGACGACTCGCCGTGCCCGGCGCGAATGTCAATGAAACCGCCCAAAAAAAAACGCTCAAACCAATCCAATATTAAGCCTTACCAACAAAAGAGACCTCCCTAACTACCTAGCAGAGCTTCGGCCTGCTTCACCTCACAGAACACGGCTGCGGCGGCACGAAAAAAGCCTCCCGAAAACCTAGAAACCTAACCTATTACGATGATGCCTGGTTCTCACACATCGATGATACAATACACCATCCCTTATCGTGGCTGCTGCTGCTGCTGCTGCTGGGCCTTCGTTGGAGTGGTCGATTGCTCCGATAAGGCGGAGGCGGCGACGGCTGCCGTGGCGTTGCCTGTGCTTCGCGCTTTCTCCGCGACGCTCACCAGGTCCAGCACCTGTCGGAGATTCCCCGTCGCCACCAGCCATTCCTAACGGGCAACCGCAAACGTCCACGACGGTGGAGGTAGCTAGGTTAGGGACGCGCATTCGATGTTCGCCGTAGTAAGGGCAAAGAATGACCACGCATTCCCATTTGGAGACGTGAGTACCGTTCCTCGCACCGCGCTTGTTTGCTCCCGACTGCGACAGTCACAAAACATTTTTTGGCGATTTTCGACCTTCATGCTTGCGATAACAGAAGCACACAACCTAACCCTAACCCTAACCCTAACCCATACGAAAAACTCACCGTAAAGCGCCCACGGATGCATTCTTCCAGCTCTCGGTTCTGCCTGGGCGTGAGATCCGCGTCGACGATGGCCTGGTGCAAGCCCTCTACGGCCGCTTCCCTGGGCGTTCCAAGGGAGGCGGAAATGGGGAGGGGTGTATGCCTCGCACATGAAAAAAACGCTCAACACCGGAGGGATCTCGGGGTATGTTATGGGCCGACGGGGGGTCGGGCAAGAGCTTGGCGTGACTTGATATACAGATAGCGTCCGCACTTGCGAAGCTCTAGTTGACGGAAGCTGGCGTTCTTATGGTAGTTCCTCTCGTGGCCTACAAACGGCCGGTATATAGGCTTTAGTGTAAGGCCTCTCGCGGCCTACAAACGGCCCGTATATAGGTCTTAGTGTAAGGGGTACTTATCCAGGCTCACAAATCGTGCTCAAGGTCTTTGATTGATAGGTTTTCGAGGCTATCTGTATCAATTTCTCAACTGCTAGCTACCTGTACACAAGACGTGTCGAGCCAGGACTGGAAGTTCAGGGGAAGCGGCAAGGGGGGGTGCGAGCTATAGAAGCCGAAATCAAACCATAAGATTAGTCAGCGCTGACTAGTCTAATGGTTTGATTTCGGCTTCTATAGAGCCTCGCAAAAAAATATCGCGCTGCAGAGGAGGGAGGTACCCTAGCGTGGTTCATGGACAGACAGGGGATCAGGAAAAAACTTGGTGTTGCTCCACATACACGTGTGGAGGAGGGCAGAGCCAAAGAATGATTGTAAAGGCGCGAGGGAGCAAGGGAATAGGGGGGTGACTTCCAAGCATGAGCACATGCACAATCCCAGCAAAGCTGTGAGACCCGGAGCGGAGATAGAGAAAAGACCAATGCCACAGTCGCTTTTCATTTTTGAGGCCGCATGTGTCTTGTGGGAAAACCACGTCCGTGTTGTTGGCGCCGGTGCTGCTACCGCTGTTGTTGGTGCATCTTCGTCATCGAAAAGGAGGGGCCTCCCACCCCTACTGAGGAAGGACTGAGGAGGCCTCTCCAAGCCAAATGCTCCCCACCCACCAGAACTGAAAAACAAAAGAGTGCTAAAACGTCCTCTCTAACCATCTCATACGAGTAATGCCACCAGACCCAAACGCGGAGCACGCAGCACAAATATGTCTACTTACAAAATCACGATTGCACCCGGCGGAATCAGACACACACGTCTCAAAGAAAACATACTTCGAAGTATACCTGCGCAAATTCGGTTCTCTATGACAGTAGTATCGGGGGAGGGTCGGTTGGGCAACAACGCCGCCTGTCCCCTGGGAAAAACCAGGTAGTGTATACTCGGGTATGTAGGGCCGGCGGGGAAAAGAGATGCTGCGGTGCCGCCAGACAAACACCGTTCCTGCCTTCGAAACCCAACCCACGGACGATAAGAAACGATTTCACAGCACTCACCCCGCATGACATCAGCAACACGAACTGAAATAGCTCGTTGAAAAAAAAATCCAACACGGCAATCGCTGCTGAAAAGACTACAATACACGTTCGATATTATACCCCAGTCGACGGGAGGAGTTGAAGTCTTCACATTTATGTATTTGTTTCGGTGTGGAACAAAGCTGCTGCTGCTGCTGCTGCTGCTGTTCGGCTGCTGTTCGACCAGAGAACAACTTCACACATATACATTCATAGTGCGCCAACGCTACTGCTTGCTGCTGCTGTTGCTATTCACCAAGAGAACAGCAAGGTCTGTCGTCGCACCTCTCTTGCAGGACAGCGGCGTACTCCGAGGGCAGTCCGAACGGGTTTTCCGCCGGGGGGTCCCCCGCGCTGTCTGGGGGAACCGGTACCGCCAGCGTGTAGAACTGCCACGCAGCCAGGAAAAGGGGGTTCGGGGGCAAGACGGAACGATCAGAAAAATAATAGAGCTGGAACCGCCAGCGCGTATATACTCTCGAACTACATGCCCTTCGCAGGTATAGGCACTCTCCTCCTCATCAACGGGACCCCCCCTCCACTTCTCAAGTGAGAGAAAAAGAGTAGCTAGGGTACGCGCACACCAGCCAACCGAGAGTCACACAACAAGCCACAAGCTTATGCATAGCATACCCTAAGCATCAACCAAACAATCACCCCGGTTCACGAGCAAGCGGAAGAGAGCGTCGGGAGGCACGTTCAGTACGCACGCACACCCAGCCGAAACGATTACCACAGCAGTCACACATAAAAACAAAAGCAAATAACGCCCCAACAATCAGTCAGGCCCTGTGGTAACGAAGTACTATCGAAAATATCAAACTCTAAAAATCAATATCAAACTCAACAATCGGCTCTATGTTGGCCAAGGAAAAACGAAAAAAAAAGTGAGTTTGATTTTTGGTTTCATCAGTTATATTTTGAAACGTCGTCCGAGGACTTTGTCTCTTTAGTCACGGAATGAAAGTTGAGCTATGCCGGAAACTCCGAACGGCTTTATTTCTTGTCTTCGACCAATAACCTGTTCGGGTGGCATTATTGCCGGGGACAGGTCGTGGCCCAAACCTCCCAAGCCGCCCTTCGCGCCGCCCGGTGACCTGCTCTTCGCCCTCGAGGCTGACGACGTCGGCGTGCCTGCTGGCAACGAACGATTTCAACGGCAACCAAAAAAAAAACAAGAAATGGTTTCCGGAATTGCTGTGAATCATGCGTGGGTTCATTGCTAAGAAATGTATCTGTGCGTAGAGATGGATTCGTCAGGTGAAAATCATAACAAAAAAAAACGGTTCCGGGAATGCTGAGATATATCCCGGCCGGACTCTTTCATCCGTGGAAGAAATGAATTTGTCGTGTGTCATTTTTGTAACAAGGAAAAAAAAAGAGAGATGATACGAACAGCCGCGACAATGCTGTCGACCGCAGCGCAGCGACAACAACAACAACAACAACAACAACAACAACAACAAAGACGGCAGTGACAGCAACAAGCGCCATGTTTCCGTCAGGGGGCGGGCGGGGGAGGGTCGGTTTGTATGCCCGTGTCGCCCGCAAATACTCATGCCCGGCGAGAAAGGGTGCCGGGTACGGTGGTCATCCCCCTCTGCGGCAAAAGCAAGAAGATGTGTTGCGGCACACAGGAGAGCAGGGAACACTCGGGGCGTAATCCAACGAACTTGCAAGATCAATCACAACCTTCGACAGACCAGGATTCTATTCCCGGCATCGCAGAAGTCCGGGCACTCCATCTCACACCGCATGCAGCAGGTATTGTAAGCAACAAATTGATGCCGGTGGACTAACCTACGGGTGTTCGCGTGTAAGTATCCAAGGGTGTATATTCCTTCCGTCGTGTGAGAACGTTTCTTCTTGCGGTATGGCATCTACTCAGTACACGAAAAGAAAGCCACTGATATATCCGAACCTGCAGCCATCGAGGGCATGCCCATCATCGACGCCTCCACAGGGTTTCCCCACAGGTTGGCCGGAACTTCGTCTTCCTCCTCTCCCAACAGACCGGCGCGCTGCAGGTGGGCCTGGCAGAGAAAGGGGGGTACACGGTGGGGGTGTACTTGTGTAAACGAATGCTGTACAAGTCGGTAGACCTAGACCTCGGGGGGGGGGGTATGATCTCACGTTTTGCATGCCTTAGCGGTTGATCATTGACCACGCGTCCTCGAATTGGACTGAACACTGTTCTCATAGGACCGATCACCAATGGCCGATCGTTCCTTCATGCAATGCCAAAGGTGCCTCAAGAATGTTTTCCCTACCCTATCTATCCTTCGCCGGATCAGTTAATTCAAGTCGTAGGACCAATGGTATTCGGCAGCACGCAAGGAATTGGCAGCGAAGCAATAGAGGGCTCGATGACAATCACGTTTTCCTTCCCAAACTAAAGGCCACCAGAAAGAGGCAGGCATGCACACACCAAGCGAATGGCCACACAAGAAACCACCCCCAACCCCCACCCCCTCCTGGAAGAGATTTTGGGGTAGCCCCAAATCTCCACATCATGGAGGGCTACAATGGGGGGGGACAGGTTTTGGTAGCTCGAAAGGGACATCTGGAGATCGGGGGGGGTAAGACCACCCCCCTGTCCGAAAACAGGCGGAATAGCCCGATACACCTTTAGACAGGGGAGGGGGAAAAAGACACCCGGGGGACACGTTTCCGGAAAAAGGGTCAAGGTTTTTCCATTGCACCTTTCCAATACCAGGGTGTTGGGGATGGCCCCCCCCCCCCCCTCTCTCTCCTCGCCGTGCGAAAACATCGAGACTCGAAAGGAATAATGGACCTATGGAGGGTGTGTGTGGATCCTATATTTATGAGAGGCATCAAGGCCGCCAAACAATGAGCAGCCGGCACCAGTCCAGGCCCGTCGCCCCCCTCCGTCTCACTAACTGGGGGGCGCGGAATCTTTGATACAAGAGTTGTCTTGTGACCACGTAAAGCGTCCGCGTCGTCAGTTGGACCGTTATAGTACGGACAGTAGAAGGTACTGAGCGGAGACCGGAACGGTTTTCAATGTGAACACAACAACAACAACAACAACAACAATATGCCGGGGAAAAGTCACCACGCAGCAAAAATCGGCACACCGGACCCCAATCCAAATACAGTCCCCAAAAATGTGAATATCCTTTTCCACAAAGGTCTGTCTCCCTACGTCTGTCGAGGACTATTTCCCTCTTTTACGTTGGTGTCGACGAAAGCCCGGGCTCGAATCCGCCACCCGCCCCCATTAAATTCAAAAATAGGAAAAAAAAATGGCGGGGACTAAAAACAGAATTCTCTCCCACCCACCACCACCACCACCACCACCACCGCCCCCGCCGCCGCCGCCGCCGCCGTACCTTGTGTCTCGGGTAGCACGAGTTGTAGGGGGCGAACTGGCAAGCTCGGTTGTCCCCGCAGAGCACCGGCGGTGTGGCGACGAAGACCGGGAATATGCACTCGAGGGAGTTCGTCACCGTGAGACGGCGGCAGCAGGTCACCAGCTGCATGCGCTCGCACTCCTCCACGCGAACCTGCATAACAAAAAACAAAAATGGGTGAAATTCGACGTGAAGGGGCGGCGGGGGGGGGGGGGGTACAACAGTGGACAAAACGCGGAGCCCTCTCTAAATCCTGGTTGATTGGGGGGGGCTCACCACCCCTCTCTCGACTACGACAATCGTTGGCTGGGGTCTTCCATCGCACAGTAGTTCTCGACAAAACGGCAATTTACTGCATGGTTGATTGGGGCGCATCTACATTTACCTCTCCAGGCTTCGCGAACGTTTTCCTAGACTATGTATCGGTGATTGGTTGGGGGTCATCTTCTCATCTCACCATGCCGGCAGCAGCGCCTATGACGACGGTGCAGTCCTTGCAGCCCATCACTGTGGCGAACCTAACGGCCGACAGGACGTAGACGTACGACTCCTGGCAGCAGTTCACCTGCAGGTCTCTGTTTTTTCCACACACGTTCCAGACAAGCAAAAATACAAAAAAAGACGGGGTCGGTTTACCTCACGCCGCGCGCAGAGCGTCAGGCCCCCTCTACCTCTCTCTCTCTCTGTCTCCCTCTGTCTCCCCACCCCCTCTCTCTCTCTCTCTGCCTGTCTGTCTCTCTCCATGACAACATCCCAGAAGTCATCACCGCACAAGGAACAGGAACTAGTCTCCTCCCCCCGTAGTCAAGGACCAATGTGCCAAGATCCACCAATCCCGCATCCACCATCAGCCAAAACAAAAGAGCACACTCCCCGCCGTGCCCCATCCATCGCCAACCAAGACGACCCCCACCAACTACATTGTGCCAAGCTTATCTATCATCGACCATATCCACGATCCTTAACCCTACGGGACTGCCCACGAAAAAGAAATTCAGTTTATTACGACAAAAATATCAGGGAGGAGGTACGCAGACTCTAGCCCAAACCCCAACTCCAACGTAAGCCGATTCTATATTTCATATCCAATATGTTTGAAGACCTGCGTTGACTACTGACTCTCCCTCCAACCCATCATCAACAACAACAATCGAACCGGCGAGAGCGCCGGAGGCGTCGACCAAAACACAAAACAAAAAAAAAATCAACCAACTAGTGCCAGAGGCACCGGCCCTGTTTGCGACAGTAGTAGTGCGGGAGGTGCAGCTCACGAGGACCCCCCCTATCCATCATTACCAAAACAAGAAAAAAAAAAAAAGACAAAATCTCACCGCAGTGGGCCGGAAGCGTCGGCGTTGTGGACGACGGTGGTGCGGGAGGCGCAGTTGACGAGGAGCGGGGCGCACGGCAAAGCAGGGACGGTGACCCCTCCGCAAGCGTGCCCCCCCTGCTGCTCGCTGCCGACAGCGGCCCCGCCGACCGCAGGGACAGCCTGCGGGACGGATGGCCCGTGGTACAAACACACGCCATTGTTGGTACGACAGTGGTGTACTACCGCATACAGACTGTGGTATACTACCACAGACTTGAAATTCCTGTTCGTTTCGTTGAGGGTCGAAGGGCTGTTCCGAGTCAAAAACACGCCAGCGCGTGTGAACTACTGAGCTTCGGAAACGTCATCAGAGCTGGCAGCTGGCAGCCAGCTCTGTGGGCTGGTTCCTGCTGCCGGGTTTTCGTTCCATCGCGCATCACCCCTTGCTGACTTTGCTTCACATCGCTCTTGTGAGCTCACTCCGGGTGGACACTTACTTGCAAAATATGTATCATCACCGCATGCTGCTCGGGGAACCGAAGAAACGCACCGGTTATGGCCCAGCTGACGTTATGGATTCACTGCAAAAAAAAAAAATGGCCTGGACTATTTTCATAGAGTGGATTCTTTCGGTTACAATAAAACTTTCGATTACAGTAGGGGGGAAGGAAACAAGGCGGTGTGAAAAAGGCGGTATACCCAATGAAAGGCAGCCAAAATTTGCGCCCACAAGATTTCTTGTTCCCCCATGTTCGCCCTCTCTCTCACCTCGTCGGGGCCGCGCTTCAAAACCAACCAAAACCAACAACCCCGTCTTCCTGTTGTACTTCCATGTTGTTCGTTCTCCTTGCTGTGCAACCTATCCATCAAACACATTTTTATATTTTTCTTACTTCCCAAGTATTTCTGTTCCCCTTGTTCGCTCTCTCGCGCGCGCGCGCGTCGGGGCCTTGCTTCATAAAAGAAAAAAAGTGATATTATAGTTCCATGTTGTTCTTCCTCTTCGCTATGTAAACCAACAAGAACATGCTTCTTTTTCATACTTCGAAAGAGTTTTTTGTTTCCCCTTGTTCGCTCTCTCGCCCCCTCGGGGCCGTGCTTCAAACAAGAAAGAACAAACAGTGCTGTTAGTCCATGCTGCTCTTCTCCTCGTCATCCAACCATCAATGACACTTTTCTTTTTCATAGTTCCCAAGTATATCTTGTTTACCCTTCTCTCTCACTCACCTCGTCCGGACCGTGTCCTCCTGCGGTGGCGGTGGCGGTGGTGGCGGCGGCGGAATCGGCTAGGAAGATCGCGGAAGGCGAGGGGGGAATTGGGTAAACCACGTCGTTCACCGTTAGCGCGCCCATGAGGTACTGCGCCACCTCGCACACCGGCACGCGGTCTCTCTTCGTCCGCCTGTCAACGACGAAGACAACAGAGAGAGGGGTACGTAGGTTAAGGATTGGCAAGCAGCATGTGTGTATGTCAATAACTCGTGCATACAGATGTTCCCTGTCCGGCTGTCAGCGATGACGACAACATGGAGAAGGGTGAGCAAGCTTTGGCAAGCAGAACATGCATCAATACAAGGCTGTTTGGCGGCTTACGCCGCCACGCTGAGAGGAGCGTTCCGCAAGACGCTTGAGGCTCTTGTTATCGGCGTTCGTTGTTACTGGATGGCCGCCTCTTGTTGGTGTACTTTTCATTGCGCTTACTTGCGTGCGATAGACCGAAGGGGTGCGAAGGGATGCGTCCCGCGCGGAGTTCACAAATTGAACACGCGCACAGGCGAGCGTACATAATGATGCAGAAAGCACGAAGAAATCATGGAAACGAACGGCCGCAGGCCGTAGGTTCGTGAGGGGGCCACTGACTGAATGAGTAGGAAACCTCACGAAGTCCTCAACGAAGTGAATAAGCTCGAACTGTATCGCACGGAGTAGTACTAAAGTACATGAAGGATCTTAACAACTTACATCCGCTCCCTCCAGCAGACTACAGGCGTGCGAGCGCCGAAAGAAAGAGAGACTGGTCTAAAGCCCTGAGAGAGGCGCAGTTAAAAGAGATGTTGAATGTGTGGTGGATGGGGAGCAGAGGAAAGCGCCAAAAGGTTCCTCGAGCGAGCGAGAAAAGCGCGGGAAAACGGGAATGGTGAAAGCGAAAACAAAAACGGGAAAAAACAGTATGCTGCTGTGGGACATGTGAGAGGGAGAGACAGGCTGCTGTTGTTGTAAGAGCCGACGACACACTGGTATTCGAGACGGGAGAGACAGACTGGCACGAGATAATGTCACGTGTGTGAAAGGGAGAAAGGCTCCGTGCGACCGAGCCGGATGTGAGGAAGGAGCCAAACGCAATGAGAAGATATGAGAGAGAACGGTGAGCGGAAAACAACAGCGAGCTCCAAAGATAGATCTGGAACAGATGGAAATGAGAACACGGAGCCCTGTGAGAGCCCGAGAACACCCGGAATAGAGCCCTCTCAGCGTAGATCCAGGCACGACAGAGAGGGAAGCGACAGAGCGCCAGACCTCGTCCTTCGTGTGATCGGAGAGCCGCAATTATAAGTGTGCGGGGGAGGACAGAGCGACAGACGTCGTGTGGTCGGATAGTCGGAAGGACGGGACTATCCAGTCAGCAGTCTATCCAGAAGATATCGAATATATGTGCATGCTGCCTGTGTTTGCTCGGAAGAACCCCCTGTTGTTGTTGTTGTTGTTGCTGTTGTCTTCACATTAAAAAACCATTCCGGTCTCCGCTCAGTACCGTAAGAGTCGGACAGTTGGCACGGGCCGGAGAGATGGCACCGGTCGGAGAGATGGCCCGGGTTGCCATAAAAAACCCGGGAAAAAACATTTAACTCGATTTACGCACTGGGGTCGGTGAGATCGCACCTGGTGCGATCTCTCCGGCACCCAAACCCAAGATTGAACTCGTTTTCAGCTGCCTGAATGAGGTACATGTGCGTACCTTTTACACGTGGGGACGGAGTCAGCGGAGCGCCACTCCTTTACGTACGATTGGGTGGTCGCGGTTCACGCGGGATGCTAGTCATTTTCATATGTTTATTGGAATGGAAGTTGCCAACCGTACACTCAACCAAACACACAACGTACAAGGCGCACCCTCTACCCCACCTTACACAACCCGAAGCTATTGTACTTCTGCGTACGTACTGGTATCCGTAGAAGAAGACCGAAACGAAAGCGGGAACCAATTGACACCGTGTGTACTGGTACCACCCCCAGATGGAAACGATATCGTTAGGAAGAAGCACCTGCACCCTCTGACATGGCACAATCAATGGCTGTTTGCGTGGGCTCGCACTGACCGGCATCGTCTAGATTTTTTTTGTTTGCGCTATTTCGCCGTTTTTTGGGGGTAAATTTAGTCCATGTTGTATGTGTTTTTCGTCGCCTTTTTTCCGGCTCAGATATATATGCTTGTGTGTGCAGAAGACCGTGTTCGTTTGTGGGCACCTACACTGGACTATGGCACCGGGTTGCGTGCGTACAACACCTGTGTGCATTTCATCGGGGATCGCACCGGTCGGAGAGATGGCACCGGGGTGCGATAAAAAACCCGAGGTAAAAACATGTAAAAAACCAATCGCACCCGGTGCCAACTCTCCGACTCTTACGGTAACTTCTAATGTCCGTACTGGTCCAACTGACGCGGATACCTTCCGTGGATCCTGGACTCCCTGCTTGGAGATATTAAATGGACCCAAACTGAAAAAAAATGCACACAACAGAGTTTACAGGCAGCCACGCATGTACCGTAAGGTTGCGAGTCAGCGCACAAGGGGTGCGATCGATTTTCAAAGCGTAATTTCTCCAGAACCTGGAGGGTGCGAGCGCCAACTGATACTTCTCAGGAAAGCGCTCGATGAGATATTTCCAAAACCGCCCTATGTACTCCCCAAACCCAAAAACAATTAACTAAATTAAACACCCCCATATATGCCAAATATACCCCCCCCCCCGGTGTTTGCCATCGGGGTTGGGTTTTCGTCGCTTGGCAACGACGTTGTAAAACAAGCCCCCCACTCGGTGTTTGCCATCGGGATTGGGTTTTCGTCGCTTGGCAACGACGTTGTAAAACAAGCCAATTCACTTCGTGAACTCGGCAACCAGGTTACCGTTTTTTTTTTTTTACCTCGGTTTTTTTTTGGCGGTAACCATAATGGTGGTCGAGTAGATCATGTTGTGCGGGGTCGAGAAACCTCACTCCGCGCAACGGGGGATGATCGCACCACGTTGTGCTAAAATGGTCAAGCATCCTCGAGGCAGCTACACAGTGCTTACAACTGTCTCTGGAAGTGAAAGCACCAGAAAATAAATTAAGTCATACGTAGCTGTCATCCGTACGCAAGAAAGTAGGCACAAGATGCCGAACACCCTTAGCAGGATGCAGCTCACCCTTCATGCGACTCGCCAAATACCTCACGGCGCTTCGCGCTTGGTGATGTGAGAGCCTGGTCCGGTGAGAACCCGGCGTGCTCCGTCCCGGCTTTGTAGGGATGCGAGGTCAATGGTCAAACGACTACGGCATGCACGACTATGAGTACACCCATATATGCCAAACCCAAAAACAATTAATTGAATTAAACACCCCCATATATGTACCTAACATGATTTTGGACTGTGGTAACCTGCTGGTTGTGGAGAAATCGCGCTTTAAAAATCGTTCGCACCCCTGTGCGCTGACTCGCAACCTTACGGTATTGGATCACGCATGTATTGAGAAAGCACTACGCTGCTCTTTATTGTCCTGTTGGAAAGAACAGCGTGCCATCGTGTATACACCCCAACGGAACACGAAGAAGCTATTATGCATGTGAGCGTAGGGCGGCTGTGGAGGGAGTGTCTGCGCGGGGCACGAAAGGAGAGGGGAGCACCGAAAAGCTGTGGCAACAGGAACGAATCGCAAAGATTCCCCGGAAATAATCGGAGAGATAATACACAGAGACAGAGGGAGAGAGAGAGAGAAGGAGAGAGAGAGAGAGAGAGAGAGAGAGAACGAAAGAGAGCGAGAGAGACCGAGCCCAGAGAGAGACAAAACGAGAACTACTGTACCATGTACTCTGCTCTAGAAAGCACAGCGTGTTATACAGCTGAGAGAGTGTGATCATCAGAAAGAAATCAGGAACGGAAACAAAAAGTGGTATGTCTCTCAGCGGCCGGAATACTTGCTGTCCCGAAGAGCGGTCCGCTGGAAATGTGGCGCTTGAAGAGTGGAGAGCTCCTGGCCGAAACAAAACATGAATACGATTTATTCGTAAGATGGAGGGTGCTGGTAGGCAGTGGAGGGTGTTGTGGGCGGACTAGGAGGAGGGGGCGAGCGCGTGTGCGAGGAAGAGAGTGAGAGAGCTGCGCAAGTTGCCGAAGTCGGAAAGGCGGAGAATCGGAGAACGCAGGCCGAGAATCTTGCAGATGTCAGAAAAGCGGCGAATTGAAAGGCGCCGGTGGAAAAGCGGAAAAATTCATGACGGGCGCGTACTTGATGATGCAGGGTATGAGATACAGACAAACAGCAGAGACCTCGTGTGATCGCGAAGGAGTGCGTGAGATCCAGGCAGAGAGCAAAGCGACAGAGCGATCGACCTCGTGTAACGGGCAAGAGCCGGAAAGGAGTGCGTGGGTTCCAGACAGACAGCGAGCCAAGAGACAGACCGACAGCCCATGTGTGATCGGAGAGGAAGCGGAAGCATCCAGTCTATCTGAAAAGAGCCCGGTGTGTGGAATTACAATCCGGCCTGTGAGCATGAAATGAAAAGCGAGCCGGGACATATGAGAGACGAATAGACGAGAGAGAGAGAGAGAGAGAGAGAGGTTGATAGAAAGACAGACAGACAGACAGACAGACGTACACGAGAGAGACAGGGCGAGAGATGCCCCAAGGTCGAGAAGGTCGCACCGAGATGAGTGTAAGTTGGAGTGCAAAAAGGGTGAAAATGGTGGTTTGTGAGGGCCCGCAATAATCGGAATACTGTTCTCCAGAGCCCGAGAAATCGGAATGCAGGGCTGTCAGTGGCCCACAGAAAATGAATGGAAAGTGCCTAGAAAAATCGTAACTGATACGACCGTTATTTCGTGTACACCACAGATGTTCGCTCTTTGTTCGCCTGCTGCCAACGAACCAAACAACAGAGAGAGGGGTAAGTAAGCTTTGGCAAGCATATATCATACTTCGTGTTTGAATAGAAACATCTCTTGTTGGGCAGCATGCCAAACGCGAAGAGAGGGATGGTTAAACTTCGTCAGCATTATATACGTGGGATACATGTATTGCTCAGTATTTTCGGCACCAACAGGGAGTACACGGACAAGAACGAAATGACACCGCAGAGACACGGCAGTCACTCTCGCTGCTGCTCTAAGCGCCAAGAAAACAATCCAAGCATCACAAAAGGTAGGAGAGAAAAAAGAAAGAAGGAAACAATCAAAGTACAATAGAGGTAAGAGAGAAGAACGAAAAAAAAAATAAGATTCCAAGCATCATAATACTAAAAGACACAGAGACAGAGAGGAGACAGCACTCACCCGCCCTGGTCACCCCACAGCGGGCACAGGTCGGCAAGGCTCACGCCCGGAGCCCTCTCCGCCTCAAGACTCGCTCCACCGGTCAGCAAGAACCCGAGCGACTCGAACTCGTCCCTGGTTGTGAATAGAGTGCAGGGTCGAGGTACCGAGAGAGTCAGCCGGGGGATCGTCTGCTTCCGGTTAACAAGAACGCAAGCGATTCCAGCCAGTTCTCGGCTCGTTGTTAAATAGAGCTCAGGGTCGAGGTACCGAGAGAGAGAGAAGGCCAGGGGGGGTTGGTAGACGATATCGTGCTTCCGGTCAACAAGACCGCACGCGATTCCAGCTAGTCCTCGTTGTTAAAAAGAGTTTAGGGGCGAGGTATCGAGAGAGAGATAGACAGAGCCGGGTGGGGGAGGGGGCAGAGGTTATCGTGCCCGCTATCAAGAAGAACGCCGAGCGATTCGAACTCTTGCGTCATGTTAAGAGTCGAGATACGGAGGTCGGCAGACGATATCAGAAAGTACGACGTAGCCCCCCCCCCTC